TCCCCACCCCATAGGAAACTCTTGCGAATTTTATCAATAGCTTTGAGAGTACCTTTTGGAAGAAGGTATACAGACATTAAGAATACAGGCAAACTGGACAACACCGAGTTAAGGAGCGTAATTCGACCCCCAAGAGAAAGTTGTCGACCCTTCCAGCTTGTCAACTTCTTTTTAAAAGACTCCAACAAGGGCTGCCACATTGTGAGCCTTCTATGGCTTCCCCCAATGGGAATTCCCAGGTATTTAAATGGAAATTCCCCTTTTTTGCAGCATAATCTATAGGCCATTTTGCTTCCCCAGCTGTCTTCAACGCTGATGCCCATTAGTTGGCTCTTTTGTAGATTAATTTTCAATCCGGAGAGCAGCTCAAAAGTCCTCATTATGCTTTTAATCACCATGATGTTATCTTCTGTTGCTTCCCCAAAAAAGATGGTATCATCTGCGAATTGAAGGTGGGTAACCATTACCGCATCCTTACCAACTATCACACCCTTATATAACTCTTTTTCAACTGCGGAAGACATTAAACCATTCAAACCTTCTGCTACTATTAGGAATAGGAAGGGCAATAACGGGTCTCCTTGGCGGAGTCCCTTGCTTATTGGGAATTGTCTAGAAGGGCTTCCATTGACCAAAACTGAGACCGTGCTAGATTGTAGACACTCATGTATCCACATTCTCCAAGTCTTGCAGAAGCCCATCCTCATCAGCATATAGTCTAAGAAGTCCCAGCACACCTTATCGTATGCCTTTTCAAAATCGACCTTGAGAAGGAAGCTTCTCTTCTTTTTCCTCTTCGCCTCATCAATCACTTCATTAGCAATAACCACACCATCAACCAACTGTCTACCTTCAATAAATGCCATTTGTTGCCCCCCGATAACTTTGTCCAGCACTTTCCGAAGGCGATTTGCTAGCAGCTTCGCGATAATCTTGTACATAACTCCGATAAGTGAAATGGGCCTGTATTCCTCAATTTTTTGGGGGTTTTCTACCTTCGGAATTAAAGTTATGAAAGAAGCATTTGAACCTCTTACAATCCTTCCTTGTTCCTAGAACTCTCTAATAAAACCTGCAATCTCCGTTTTTATATCTTCCCACATGCACTTCACAAATTTGAAATTAAATCCATCCGGGCCTGGAGACTTAAACGATTCACAATCCCAAACAGCATTTTTGATTTCTTCTTCAGAGAATGTTGCCATATGGGATTCATTATCTGCCCCGTCAATCTGTCGGAAGCTAATACCCTCTAGCTTGGGTCTCTACCCCCTATCTTCTGTGAAAAGCTGCTCGAAATAACTCACCATTTTTTCTTTAATTTCACCCACGCCCTTATGTTGTTCACCATTAATCTGGACGCTATTGATTTCGTTTTTTCTCCATCTTCCCTTCACACACCTATGGAAAAACTTGGTGTTTGCATCACCTTCTTTTAACCACATCAATCTTGATTTTTGCTGCCACATGTTCTCTTTTAATTTGAGGTTCTTCCACAGTTCAAGAAAACTACTTCTCCTCTTTTCAATTTCGGTTGGTAGCAATTGGACATTCACTCCTCTTTGATCTAGATGAGCTATCTCTCTCTCAGCTTCAATTATTTTCCTATCCACCTCTGACGCTGAGTTTCAGCTCCATTCTTTTAAAGCTTTCTTTGTACTTTTTAGCTTCTCCTTGAGTTTGAATCCATACCATCCCTCCACTGCCGTAAAGTTCCATGTTTTTCTAATAAGCTCCTTGCACCTAGGATCCTGCAACCAAGCATCAAAAAACTTGAAAGGCTTTGGGCCCCAGTCCACCCACTCGTTCTTCAATAAAACAGGACAGTGGTCTGAAACTGTTCTTTTCAACCCCCACTATGTCACATCGCACCATCTCACAAGCCACTCCTCTGAAACCAGGAATCTATCAATCCAGCTCATATGTTGGCCATTAGCATTGTACCAGGTGTACTTCCTCCCTACCATAGGCAAATCAACCAGCCCAGATTCGATGATAAAACTGTCAAAATCTTTCATTTCTCTGGATATCCCATTGCACCCTGCCCGCTCCCCTGAGCTCCGGACAGCATTGAAGTCCCCCCTAGACACCAGTTGCCATTCCTATTTGAGATCAGATTCTGCAGCTCCACCCACAGGGCTCTCTTTCCAGACAAATCACATGGAGAATAAATGTTTAATATATGAACCGAAACTCTCTCTTCCCCCCATGTCCCAAACACCCCAATGAAATGATCCCCCTCTATCACCTCTTTCTTTTTAAAAATTTTATTATTCCACACACACAGCAAACCACCCGACAACCCCTTAGATGGCTTGGCAATCCAGTCAAAATCCTCCGTCCCCCACACCCTCCTGCATAGCTTCCTGTCAACAACTTCCAATTTGGTTTCTTGTACAGCTAAAAATTCTATTTTCTCCCTCAAAACTATATCCCTAATATGTCTTCTTTTCCCAGCCCCTCCTAAGCCTCTAATGTTAAAAGATAGCAATATCATTGGAATCTATACAAACCTTCTTCGCACCTCCTGCTTCCTTCTTCTCCATGTCAGCTTTGGCTTGGCTATCTCTTTTCTCCATTTCGTCAATTCTGCAGATCACCTCTTCATCACACTCAACCGTCGCTCCTAGGTGCTTGGCTAGCTCCCAAATCTCCTTTGCAAGCTTCCGTTGCATCTTCCTCTTTATGGATCTGTTACAATTTTGAATCCCACTGTCCCCTACAGATTCACCTACTATTTCTCCATTTGGGCTGGCAATAAAATCTGGCAGAATCTGCCCCCCCGTTGGCTGTTTGCTCCGGCGACCCTGCCTCTTGTTCCTGCACTGCTTCCTCTGCACCGATGCTTCCTGCAGGTATACAAATTTGCATGACCTCAACCTCATCTTCCTTCTCTTTTGGGTTCCGGCTGCACGCCTCTGCCCCCCATCGCCAACGCTCCCCTCGTCACTCCCCGAGCAACTCCCCGAACTGCCCCTTTTTTCACCGTTTCTTTGACCAGAACACTCTATCTTATTCCCACTAATAACCTTCCTTCCCATAGAGATTGAGCTTACTCCCTCCATTGTTTCTTGGGCCAAAGCTATAGGAACGGAATCCTCACTATTTGGGCCACAAAATGACCCAACTCTTTTTTTAAGAACACCTCCATATGACTTGCTATTATTATGCTCCACCAAGCCCAAAAGCCTGCCTTCCTCATTTTTGGATCCTGCATCAGCAGCTGCATTCCCCCCCATTTTTGCCGTTCCCGTTACCCATGCTCTGTTCTCACCATCTTTTGAGAATTCAAAATTTTCAAAATTTTCTGTACTGTCAGGCACTGCATCAACAGTCCTGTCACCATCTTGTGGGTCTTGGAGCTAGAATTTACCGTTGGTTTCCCCTGTACGTCTCACCACATCTTCTTCTCCACCCTCTGCGCCTTTGGGCTCATCCCCGGATTGCCATTCTCCATCTACATCCTGGAAACCATGATCATTCTTGGAACTTTCTATCGACCAAGATTCGTTTTCTTCTGAATCACTCAGGAAGGTAGGAATAAAATCCTGTTTTAATGAGAAGAAGCTATTGGTGAACTCCTCCTCCGAGAACCTTAAATTGTAAATCGAGCCATTGATCTGGATCTGGCGCCTAACGGATATTGTATCCATTATCGGAGTGGATATCAGCATTCTTGCAATATCAAACCTCTTTTTTTTGCTTGTATTATCATCCAAGCATATGAATTTACCCCATGAGCAACCCATTTTTTCAAAGAAATCCGAGCCCCAAACGTTCAATGGAGCTCCTTGGCATCGGATCCACACAAACCTCTCATGTGCTATCTTATTTGGTGACCACAGCTGGATCTCTTCGAACCATTGTCCTAGCCATTCCGATGCCATCTCCACCAGGTCCTTCAACTCCTCTTTGTCTTCACAATCCAGCAACACCAACTTACCCCCCATAGCTCGGATTCTACAATGAAAGTATCCCTCCATGAAGAATGTAATATCCCAAATTTTCGGGAATATTCAAGTGTAAATTAAGGACTAACTTGTGAGGGAAGTATTGTTTTGGGGCCTAATGTGAATATTCTGAAAGTTGAGGGACTTAAAGAGGGAAAGATTTTGGATAAGGATGACTTCTTTTCTTTTTCTTTTTTTTTCCTTCTTTCTTTCTTCTCCAGCTCGCATGTTCTGCTCTTCCCGACCCCTGCACCCGAGAGAAAAAAAAAAGGGGAACCCAGCCATGCTTTGAGAAACCGGTGAGATAAGCTTGGTTTTGGCCTTCTTTTCTTGCTCTAAAACACAGATTCGAACCCAGAAATCTTCCCCCCTTGCTGGAAAATCCGGATCTGCTGCTACTCTGCTCCTCATCGCCGGCTGTTCCTTGCTTGTGAGTGCAAATTGTCTTGATTTTCTGGTAAGAAACAGCCATTAATCGATCCTTTTAGCTTGATTTAGCTTGGGTTAACTTTGGTTCTCCAATTTTTGGCTAGTCCGTGAGTTTCCCTGCAACTTGCCGCCGGCTTCCTCTTCCCCCCTGCAGCTTCGGTTTTAGCTGGAGAATTATGGTATGTTGACAGCCATTTAAGCTTGAAATTAGCCATCTAATTGCTACCCTATTGTTGTCCGAATTTGACAAAAAATTGGGGATAATTCCGGTAGCCTTTGAGCATGTTTTAAGCTTGATTTAAGTGTAAATTAGCTTGATTAGTTGCTGTGATTTTTGGAGAAAATCCCATGAGATTAGTTAGTGTTTTGGCCAATTTGTGAAAGTCGGGGTTGCTGTTCACGTCGTGTTTACTGTTCATGGGTACTGTTTACCGGTTACTGTTCACACACCGAGGGCCAACATTTAACGGGAATTTAAATGATTAGTTTGTGATATAAGAACGAATTGGGAGATATTTGATCATGTGGAAAGTGATAGAAATAGCATTGTGATTAGGAATGATCCTAATGATGATTTCAGCTTGAATTTGTGATAGTTCGGTATTAATTCTTGAAATATCTTGATTAGGTTCTTGATCGTTCTGTCAGTTAGTACGTGAATTGAGTGCTCGGTTTTGTGCGAGTGAGGTAAGTAAATTATGGTAACGCCCTTTGATTTTAAAAGCATGTTTTGATTTGTTTTTGAAGTGGTGGCGGGACTAAACCCGTTTTACACGAGCATGACTGATTTGAAGTGAAATGTTTATGTTTTTCATGAAATTGAGCATGCCTACTTGAAATTTAAGTGACCGTCCTGATTATCTGAAAGTGATTGTGAATTGTGATTTGCCTGTTAACTTCTGCCTATTTTGTCTCCGATATGGTCATGTTATTCGTGTGCCCGCTAGTGGGAGGTTTATAAACGCTAGCACATGTCGACATGTTAGTGATAGAGCCGGTTCGTTTCTGTAACCCTACTAGTGGGGGTTAAACACTAGTAATTTCTGTAGCCTGCCAGTGGGAGGTTTATAACACTGGCCGTGACCTATAGAGGAGACGTCTATTTCGTGCCTGTACTGTATCTGTTTTCGTGATTGTACTTGTTGGCATGCTTTAAGTTTGATAAGGGGCACTCCATATTTACTTACTGAGTTTATCTCATAGTTTTTCGTTGTCCGCCATTTCAGGAAGTGAAACCGAGGACGGGGAAACCACAAGAAGTGACGAGTTAGAAGGCTAGCCATATTGTAATTGGATATAAATTTTAGATATGAATCATGATCTTGTATTTGGAGATTTTATGATATCAGAGAGAATTTTATAATTTGATCTTCAGATTTTGATGGTATCAGAGTGTGAATTTGATAAGTTCCGAGCCTTGTGCACTTGTGAGACCTTGTTTGAAGCTTGGTCCCTTGTGATAGTATGCTTGGTTTTGGTTGTGGCAGGATGTATAAGGCCTTTCACATTAGGCCTATTTGTTCAAGTATTTATTTGGGCATTCATACATGAATGCAAACATAAACGTACATGAGCATATACACGCATACATGCATGCATACATGAGCATTCATGCATGCACACATCAGCATTCATGCATGCACACATCGGCATTCATACATGCATGCATAAAGGCATTCATTCATACATGCATTCATCCATTCATGATTCTATATATCCGAGTGATGTTTATCCGTCTCGGATAGGGTTCCATCTTTTAGTTAGACTCATCATTAGACTCCCTATCATGATGTGTTTGATGAGTGCCGGATCTTGATTTGAGTCAAGGGCACCACATAATTATGCCGATAACCCTCGAGTGTAGTTACTTGTGCTGAGGCATGAAGTTATCTCCTACCCCCAAATGGCCATTGGGGAGGGTGGAGATTGGGATTTGTTATTGGCTTGTTAGAGTAGTGATGAGTACTTATTGCCTGTGAAGTGAATCTGACTATAATACCTTTGTAAATGTTAGCCATGTATGTTGAAATTGGGTTCTTGTGATTGTGACACCGGCATCTATCTTAAAAAGGGTAAGATAGATGGTCTGATTATCACTATTTCTGTCATTTTTCTGCTTGAAAATTTTATTGATTTCGTGGATGTTTTGACCTTGGAACTATTCTTGAGGTGGTGTTGTTTTCACGGTAGTTGTGGTTGATATCAGAGTGGCATAGCGAAAGTGCAGTGGCCATGTTCTGATCATAGAAAGTCGGGGCATTTGTTTTGTCTTGGATTGTGTGAAGTCATTCACCAATCTAGACGATCCTAGATTTGAGTTTTGGGGACAAAACTCCTTTTTAGGAGGGGTGGATGTAATACCCCAAAATTTTTAGAGCATTAAAGTAAATTGGGGACCTAATTGTGAAGAGATATCATTAATGAATGTAATAGCAAAAGTTTTCAAAGTTCAGGGGCTTAAAAAGAAAGGAAATTAGGATAAGGATGGCTGAGTTGTTCTTTCTTTTTCTTCTTCCTTATCCGCACATCTGCTCTTCTTTCTTCTCCCTTGCACCCGACAAGCCCCCCCCAAGCCACCGACTTTCTTCCCCCTTGAGAAACCCGGTGGGATCTTGATGAATTCTCTTCCTTTCTTGTTAAATCACAAGATTTGAGGCTTAGAATCTTCCCTCTCAACCCAGAAAATCCCGGATCTGTTCTGCTCTTCTCCTCTGTCCGCCGGCTGCTATGTGGGTTTGAATTTCTGGGCATTTTTCGGGTAAGCCACAACCAAGAAATCATCTCTTTAACCTTGATTTAGGCTGGGTTATGCTAATTTCTATTTATTTCCCTCAATTTTTGGGTAGTCCGTGAGTTCCCTGCAGCTTGCCGCCGGCTTCTTCTTCCCCTGCTTGCTCCGGTTCTTGCTGGAAAATTCGGGGATAATGGACAGCTTCCTTTAAAGTCCAATTTTACCCATTTAATTGCTGAAATTATCCATGTAATTGCTGCCCCTGTATTGTTCAAATTTCTACCGAAATATGGAAGAATTTGGCAGCATTTTAAACGTGTTTTTTTAGCTTGATTCATGTAGAAATAAACTTGTTTTTGGCTTGAAATTAGCTGCTGTTCTGTGTGGGAAATCCTGCTGTTTTGCCAAAATGTTACTGTTCACGCAGAAAATTCTGCAAATTGCTGCTGCGTTTTTCTGCATTTTGCTACTGTTTTTCCCTTTCTTTTTCAGTCTGTTCTGCTCTGAAAATCTGGTGAAATATCCCTTTTTCTGGTATTTTAGTTTGCTGTAAATGATGGAAATATCAATTATTGTTCACGTGCACTGTTCACGGATACTGTTTATAGGCACTGTTCACACCCCGAGAGTCGACAATTAACGGGGATTTAAATGATTAGTTTGTGATATAATAATGAATTTGGAGATATTTGATCATGTGGAAATTGATAAGAATAGCATCGTGATTAGGGATTAGTCATGATGATTTCAGTTTGAATGTGTGATAGTTCGGTATTACTTCTGAGGTGTTTTGATGAGGTTCTTGATCGTTCTGTCAGTTTAGTACGTGAATTGAGTGCTCGGTTTTGCGGAGTGAGGTAAGTAAAATTATGGTAACGCCCTTCGACTTTTCAAG